TCAATATAAATTAAGATCTCTGTCACTGATTAAAATAAAAACTGAAAGTACAAATAAGATTAAGTTTTTCATTAAATATAAAATACCGATTTGAAATATTAAAAATTCTGTATCATATCGTTATCAGGGCTGCTTATTTGGGGATTATTTTATGGATTGGTAGTAACATAAACAGCCGTATTGATTTCCCAATTCTGACAAGATAAAATTTATTATACTGAAAAGGCTTTCCTGGCCAGGTGCAGTGGCTCACATCTGCAACCTTAGCACTTTATGAGGCCCAGGCAGGCAGACTGCTTGAGCCCAGGAGTTTGAGACCAGCCTGAGTGACATGGTAGAGTGATATGGCATCTCTACAGAAAATTAGCCAAGCATGGTGGTGCACACCTGTAGTCCCAGCTACTCAGGAGGCTGAGGTGGGAGGATCACCTGAGCCTGGGATGTTGAGGTTGAAGTGAGCCATGATCACGCAACTACACTCCATCCTGGGGGACAGAGTGAGACTCCATCTCCAAAAAAAAAAGGCTTTCCCAATAACAAGGTAATAAAGCTGTACTAGAAATATTGAAATTTATTTATTTATTTATTTATTGAGATTGAGTCTTGTTCTGTTGCCCAGGCTAGAGTGCAGTGGCGCGATCTTGGCTCACTGCAACCTCCACTTCCCAGGTTCAAGCAATTCTGGCAACAGAGCAAGACTCTGCCTTTAAAAAAAAAAAAAAAAAATACAGCAGGCAAGAAGGAAGGCAGGGAGACCAGACAGGAGGCTTCTGCAGTGGGGCAGGCAGGAAACAGTGAAGGCCTGCAACGGGGAGCAATAGCTGGGTGGAGAGGAAAGGCTTGGCAACTGAATAGATATGGGAAGGTGATGAGAGGGTGGCGCCTATTGCTAATTTGGGGACCTGGTGGTGCCATTCACTGAGATTGGGAACTCCAGATGAGGGGCAGATTGGGGAAGACAAATTCCCCCTGTTTTGAGCAGGGGGAATTTGAGGTACATCCTAGGGAACCCATAGATGGAAATGCGTGACAGGCAATGGGACAGATGGGTCAGATGCCAGGGAAGAAGGTGGAGCGGGACCTTCAGATCTGGGAGCCATCAGCACAGAGTTGAGCCCTAGAGTATGGGAGGAGACACAACTACCTGGGAAAGGAAAAGGTAGAGGGAGAAGAAAAGGCCAACAGAGGGGCTGGGCAAACAGACAGAGATCTCAGGTCAAACACAGACACACATATGACCTAAATTTTACATTTCAGATATACCATACCATAATCAACCTCATAAAATTAAGCTAACAGAGGGTCCAGCACATATAAATATTCCCACTTCTCCCTCCAAATTTTCTTTCTCCTTTCCTGTCCTCACATCCCTTGTTCACAGAATCTCAAAGTTAAAAATGTCTTAAAGGTCATCCAGCAAACCATCTGACCAAACCAGTTTACATGTTCCCCTGAAAAGGTAACTTGTACCTGCTCATCTCCATCTCTGAAGTCTCTCTATGCCCACCTTCTTCCTCTAGGCTCAGCTCCAGACCCACAGTTATACCTGCCTTCCCACAAACTCTTGGCATACCTGCAATCATTCTCCTCAACAAGCTTCTATACACCTGCTATGTAGCATGTCCTGCTTTATAGTGTTATTTTTCTCTATTTTATGTTTGTTTCCTGTGTCCAAATAGACTTGTAATAATAAGAGTATTCGCTACCATTTATTGAGCACTTACTATGTGTCAGGCTTTGCTTTTAATACATTGTCTGATTTAGTTGTCACAGTAACCTACCAAGTTATTATCTATTATTATTACTATTATTCTATTATTATTACTGTTATTCTCCCCCCTTTACCAAAGAGAAAACTGACGCACAGAAAGGTTGTGTAACTTACCAAAAACCCAGAAGTGGCCCATTCGATATTTAAGCCTAGAGAGTCTAACATCAGTGTGCCAAACTGCCAGCTTACACATTCTTATCACTTTGCATTTTCACTACCTTGCCCACAACAGATGCTTTTTCTTTTCTTTTTTTTTTTTTAAGACAGAGTCGCACTATTGCCCCGGCTGGAGTGCAGTGGCATGATCTTGGCTCACTGCAACCTCCACCTCCTGGGTTCAAGCGATTCTTGTTCCTTGTCCTCCTGGGTAGCTGGGATTGCAGGCATGGGCCACCATACCCTGCTAATGTTTGAATGTTTAGTAAAGACAGGGTTTCACATTAGCCAGGATGGTCTTGAACTCCTGACCTCAGATGATCCGCCCGCCTCAGATCCCCAAAGTGCTGGGATTACAGGCGTGAGCAACCAGGCCCACCTAACATGCTTATTCTTGATTATATTACTAATATAAACTTATAGAATATTAGAGGTGAAGAGATTTTCAAGCTCATCTCTTATTTTATAGATAAGGAAGCCAAGACCCAGTAAGAAACTGCTATAGTCTTTCTGAGGTTTAATTTGTGAATGACCAAAACCTCTACATAGAGTACACAAACCCAGGAGGAGAAATAAGTGTAATATGTTTCCAGTCACATGAAAGACCCTCAAACTTGAATGCCAGCGGGATCCCCCCACCCCAGCCCCATCCTTGTTTCTAGTCCAGGTGGATAAGGTTCAGGCTCCAGAGCCAGAATCACAGGGGTTTGAATCCTCAGCTCTGCCCCTTACCAGCTGGCTGACCCTGAGGAGGCATCTTAACCTGTGAGCTGCCTCATCTAGAAAGTAGCCGTAATGAGGTTCTTACAGCTCAAGACCTGCAGCTGCATGGAAAGTAAGCAGGGAACCACGGAATGGGGGTAGAATTTGGAGTCACGCTTGGTGTCAGATCCTGGCCCTGCCTCTTACTGCTGTCTTTGGGCGAGTCACTTCACTCTCAACTTTAGCTTTCTCATCTTTAAAATGGGGGTAATATGACTTAACCTGGTTTGCTGTGCTGCTTAAAAGTAGTTCTGTTTGTAGCTGAGCACGGTGGCTCACACCTATATAATCCCGGCACTTTGGGAGGCCCAGGCAGGCACATCATTTGAGCTCAGGAGTTCGAGCCTGAGCAACATGGTGAAACCCATCTCTACAAAAAATATAAAAATTAGCCAGGCACAGTGGCTCACACCTGTGGTCCCAGCTCCTTGAGGAGCTAAGACAGGAGAATCACGTGAGCTGGGTGGGGCTGAGATTGCAGTGAGCCAAGATCATGCCACTCCACTCCAGCCTGGGTGACAAAGTGCATCCCTGTCTCAAAAAAAAAAAATACTTCTGTTTGTTAAAATACAGTTAACTCTGCAAGTATAATTTTTTCTCGCCCCCCCCCCTTTTTTTTTTTTTGGTTGGGGAATGGAGTCTCACTTTGTTGCCCAGGCTGGAGTGCAATGGTGTGATCTCGGCTCACTGCAACCCTGCCTCCCAGGTTCAAGTGATTCTCCTGCCTGAGTCTCCTGAGTAGCTGGGATTACAGGCACCTGCCACCACATCCGGCTAATTTTTTGTATTTTTAGTAGAGATGGGGGTTTTGCCATATTAGCTAGGCTGGTCTTGATCTTCTGACTTCAGGTGATCCGCTTGCCTCAGCCTCCCAAAGTGCTGGGATTACAGGCGTGAGCCACCACGCCTGGCCTCTCCCTTCTTTTGTTATAAACTCATAGGTAATGTTCCCAAACCATTATGTACTTTCCACCCTCAGAATATTGATGTCTATGAAAACATATCAAGAAAAATGACAATAAATGTATTTTTCCAGGTATCCATGTTTCTAAAGGATAAAGTTCAGAATAATAACGGTCGCTTTGTGTTGCCGGTGTCTGGGCCTGTTCCCTGGGGAACTGAACTTCCGGGACTCATCAGGTGAATTCCCAACAATGATCCGAGCTATGTTTGGGGTGCTAGGAAATCAGCACATGGGCCGCACACAGAAAGCTGCATTGCCGAGCCACTCATGGTCTGCCCAGCCCTTTTCTTTCTTCAGTAAAACACAGCTGTTGAAGTCAGGTTCTAATCCCTGCCTTGCGACTTAGCAGAGGGACTTGAGGCAAGTTACCCAGTTACCCAGGACTAACTTCCTCATCTGTTAAATGGTTACTATGTGGATGAATAAGATAAGAGTGCTCTAATGTGCTTACAAAACAGTTGGCACATATGTGTGCTCAGTAAATATTATTATTGTGGCTGGGCATGGTGGCTAATGCCTGTAATCCCAGCACTTTGGGAGGCTAAGGCAGGTGGGTCACGAGGTCAGGAGTCCGAGACCAGCCTGGCCAATATGGTGAAACCCCATCTCTACTAAAAATACAAAAATTAGTTGGGCGTGGTGGCGCATACCTGTAGTCCCAGCTACTTGGGAGGCTGAGGCAGGAGAATCACCTGAACCTGGGAGGTAGAGGTTGCAGTGAGCTGCGATCACACCACTACAGCCAAGGCGACAGAGTGAGACTGTCTCAAAAAAAAAAAAAAAAAAAACACACACACATAATTATTGTATTATTATTATTATAACCAGCACCTTTATCTTGAAGGAATGCATGAATTCCTTTTTGTTCTGTAGTACAAAGAATAAAGAAGCCTCCAGGACTACGTAAGCTTGGGGAACATTCCATCATGTCATACTTTGTATTGTAGAATGTTCAACAACAAAGGTGAAGAAGTGAAGAGGATAGAGTTCAAGCATGGTGGAAACTATGTCCGTGCACCCAAAGAAGGTTCTTTTGAACTTTATGGAGACCGAGTCCTGAAACTGGGAACTAACATGTAAGCAAATTCTCCTTCTCTGAGTCAATTCAAGTCCAAGAGAGGTCACTTCATTTTAAAAAACAGCCTGACTTCTGCTATGAAAATCCCTGCTGACAATAGGAGTAATTTCCCCTTAGATACACTGCATCAGAGACCTGACATTTCAGAGAGCACCCAGGAACACCAAACATAAGGGAACTCAACAGAATGAAAAGATATATGATGTGAAATAGCCATGGAAGAGAACTAGCCAAAATCTGTGTTGCAGTGGAAATCCAGAAAGACTTACCGTTTCTGTAAAGCTGCTTGTCTTTTCAGTGATACATGTTGCTCTTCACAAGAGGAGGCATTGCCAGCCAGCCTCCCCAGGTGTTTTTCTTTGGGAAGAAGAGAAATTTGAGTGGTTAACACTCACTTAGTCCATACCCACAGCACCTTTCTGGATGCTATTTAATGTGACAAAATAAAAGCTACGAACTATGTTTACAAGTTAGAGGGAAGTCCATGGAAAGCGGCTGCATGATGTCACCATTTTCTGTTGTCACACTAGGTACAGCTTGAATCGGCCTGTGGAAACCCATATGTCTGGATCATCGAAGAACTTAGCCTCATGGACCCAGGTGAGCTTCTGCCTTCCTTCTGTACCATCATAGCTTCTCTCTAGATACAGACATCTACATAAAGACAGAGTGGGAGCTCTTTAGATTTCGGAGCTAGCCAACACTCCCTTGTTGTTTGCAATCTTCTCCATTCTGCCTTGTAACTACATAGGTTTTAATTGTAGCTTTTCATGGAGACTTCCAGTGATCTCACTAATTAGATAATTTTAGGCTTGGCTCAGCCACCATAATTAAGAGGAACCACACACCAGGACATGTGCAGTAGCATAGTACCAGTGCCATTAGGTCCATGATGGCTGACATCAGCACTCATGTGTATTCTGATTGTTAAAACATTTCTTTTTAATGTTTCCCTATATAGCACCGTGGTAGCTAAGTCAGAGTGGGGTTTCAGTTTCTCTGAATTCCATCTTTACACGTTTTTGCTGAACTAGCTCCCAGCTAGCTGTAAGAGAGATCACAGAATATTAAACAATTCAACAAACATTTATTAAACTGCTTCTATGGGCTGGGGACCCAGGGACACAAAGCTGACGTAGATGTGGTCCTATTCTGAAGGGGCCTGTAGTACCCTGGGAAAGAAGGCAATAGAAACAACTCGAACGAGGTGGAGGAAGGGCTGGCTGGGGATCCTGAGCAAAGTGCTGTGCTAGAGGAATGCGCTTCTGTCCAGTGGACAGGGATCAAGAAGGCATTTCAGAGGCGGGGATATTGAAGTGGGGCTCCAGAGCAGGTAAACCATGAAACAGCAGAGAGGGAGAAATGGTCACACGAACCAAGGTGACAGAGGGGCAGGAGTGTTCCCGGGAAGAGGGTGGCAGCATCTTCCACAAGGCTCATGTAATGGATCACAGCGTCATGGAGGCTGCTGACAGAGACCCGCCTGGACAGGGACACTGGGGCCTGAGCAGGAAGGGGCTTAAACTATTTGGACTTTGCTCTTTCGACAGGAAGCAGAGGGGTTTGTTTCAAGCCAGGGAGAAATTAAATAAAAACTGTATTTAGGTAACTGGTGGTGGAGTGAGGCTCAGGTAGAACAGGGGAGGCCAGGTTAGAAGGAAGGGGTGCAGGATGAGGCAGGGTGAGGATGTGGGAGGAGGAAATGAACTCAAGGATGTGTTCCCGGCCTCACCACCTGAGGGCAGTGTGGCGGCCCCTGTGGAAGGAGCCTGGACTGAGGTCACTCGTAAATGTTGAGGGAACCCGATTGACGGCAAAAGAAGCCGTACGTACTCTTCTCCTTCAAGGAGAAAGGTAGTGAGAGGAGAAATGTGGATTCCTGCAGCTTCGACACATGGGGACGGTATGAAAATCTCTGGTTTGCAAAGTTGCTACATTCCCTCTGCTTCCGACGTGATTGTTTTGCTTTTGGTTAAACCTGCTTTCTACGCTTTGTTTGGATCCAGAAATAATTTAAACAGCGATTGTTTCACCTTGTTTTATAATACCTACCTGTGTCTCTGGGGTTTTAGCAGGAAATGTGATCGCCTTCTTGTGGCTAAAAATCATGCAACTGTTTCTGCAGGAAAGCATTGCTCCAAACCCTCTTGCTAAAGAAGAGCTGAATTTCTTGGCCAGGCTAATGGGAGGGATGGAGATTAAGAAACCCAGCGGCCCTGAGCCTGGATTCCGGTTGAATCTCTTTACCTCTGATGAAGAAGAAGAGTATGTTTTAAATGTGTTTCGTTAAAGACATATAAAAATCCCAAGTGTGACAAGAACCCAAAATGACCATTACAAACCAGTGGCATTCATAAATATTTGTGTAAATATCACAAATAAAATACCGACAAATTCAATAACCTAGCTAAATAACCCACCAGGATGAAATGACCTGAACCTTCTGGAATTGTTCAACAAAAGAGGTGGAGTGATGGTGCTCACCTGTAGTCCCAGCTACCCAGGAGGTTGAGGCGGGAGCATCGCTTGAGCCCAGGAGTTTAGTTAAGCAAGCTATGGTTGTGTCACTGCATTCCAGCCTGGGCGACAGAGCAACACCCTGTCTCTAAAAAAATAATAATAATAAAGAAAGCCATAAGGGAGTTATGTTTTACTTATCAGAGCATGGCTGAATAAGCAGTGTTAGAAGCCAGGATGACCAGATTAAGACAGTGTGTTAAGAAACCAGAGTGAGGTCGGAGCTTGATTTCTCTGCGTTAGACAGTATCACAGTATCACTCAAAACCAATAGCAATAGTAAATCAGCCACAGTGATTTGCAGTGCTTACAGTTTACAGAGCACTTTCACATGCATTATCTCGTGATCCTTCTCATAACCAAATATTTGAGGTGGGTGTCACCTTCTATTTCCCATTCATTGAACTATTAATAACTTCTTTTGTTTACTTCTGTGAGACAGGTACTATGTAGTCCTGGGGACACAAAGAAGGAGTAAGACCTAGAACCTGTCCTCAGGAAGCTCTCAGCTTAGTGGGAGAATCAACATGGACATATATAGGTTATTTCAGTGCTGTGTCATGAATGCTGTAATTGAGGACAATGACTGACTCTGCACTGGCAGATTGAAAGAGTCGGTGTTTGATCTAGGTCTTGGAGTTTGCCAAGCAGAGGAAGGGAAGAAACATTCTTGGTAGAGCTTAGTATGTGCAAAGTCACAGAAACATAAAAGAACTTGACTTTCTAGATCATAGGGCATACGGTAGAAAGTTTAAGAGAAATGGCATTAGATGAGGCAGAAACAATAGGCAAGAGCCAGTTTGCCGTGCTGGAAGGGACAGTACCCTAACCTTGCACCCATTTTCTTTACCATCTCATCCAGACAGGCAGCGCTAACCAGGCCAGAAGAGTTATCCCATGAAGTTATCAACATACAAGCTACCCAGGTGCGTACAGGGGATTACACAGGGTCCGTCTTATTCCCTTCACTTTTTTTTTTTTTTTTTTTGAGATGAGGTCTTGGCTCAGTCACCCAGGTGAAGTGCAGTGGCTCAGTCTCGGCTCACTGCAACCTCCACCTCCCAGGTTTAAGCGATTCTCCTGCCTCAGCCTGCCTAGTAGCTGGGATTACAGGCACCCACCACCATGCCCGGCTAATTTTTTTTTTTTTTTTTTTTTGTATTTTTAGTAGAGATAGGCCTTCACCAAGTTGGCCAGGCTTATCTTGAACTCTTGACCTAAAGTGGTCTGCCCAAAGTGCTGGGATTACAGAGGTGAGCCATTGTGCCCAGCCTCCCTTCCTCAAGCAGGAATCAGACTACAATATAGCTGTTAAGTGCTGTATTGTCATTCCCCCTGCTGAAATTAAAGTGGTTTCTTAACTACACCTGTCTGCTATTCTGCAGCAGCCAGGGATGCTTGGTTACATACATGTTGATTAAGAAAAAAAAAAACCCTCTTCATCTCTCTGATCAGCCTGTAACTACTATCCCTTTTCTGACAAACAGGTGGGCAACTGAAGCGTATCAGTGGTGGGACAAAAAACTAAGTGCCACTTCACAAAGAGGCAGCCTGCCAGCACAGCCTCCTCATGCCCTTTTACCTCTCGTTTCCGTAATAGGATCAGCAACGGAGCGAGGAACTGGCTCGAATCATGGGGGAGTTTGAGATCACAGAGCAGCCGAGGCTGAACACCAGCAAGGGGGACGATTTGCTTGCCATGATGGATGAATTATAGCTGTTCTGACAGGTGACCTCTGCTCCCTGGGAGAGGCTGCTGGATGGTGACCCCTGGGGAATACCCCAGGCCCAAAATGATGCTGCTAGTTTTCTAGTTAGTGAAGCCATTACATCTAGTTCTTGTTTATGTTGTAAGGAACTGTGTGAGTTTCCCTTGGGGAGCATTCTCACTCAAAGGCACACACATACACATATTTTCAGTGAAATATATTCTGACTTTTAAACTTGTCCTTTCCCATTTTATTCTTAATTCTGTGTCAACCACCGAAAGCCTCCAGAGTCATAAGTGTGAGCCCCCAGAGTGGGTAAGGGGTCATCCCCACTGTCATTTTCAGGATTACTATTTCAGCTTCCCTGTGGGGATCTAAGAGGGCCTGTAAACATTAACAAAATCCTCGGTTTTCTGGGATATATTCTGCCTTGTAGGCAAGTTTGGAATCAATGACCGTTCGAAGAAGTTGCCATAAACAGTAAGGGCTCAGTGTAGAAGGCCCTCTTCTCCCTGGCATACCAGGAACTGTAACCACAGACACAGAGTAAGCAAGGCCACAACAGGGAACACTCAGCCCGCCCCAGGCAGGACATGCCAGTGTCTGTGCTTCCCCACACATCCTTCTATTCATGATCCCATACTCAGATGCATACCAAGAAAATATTGGCTTCTTTTCAGCGTATATGTACTCCTTACCCCCAGGGTCTCCCTCTACCCCGAGTGTGCTTGCCTTCTAAAGACACCCAGCAGGATGCTCTGTGACATCCACCTTCCCACGTCACCATGAGTCACCAAGCAGCACCCTAGGCTGGGTGCGTGGGAGGCACGTGTGGTGTGCCCCTTTCCCTTCTGCCTTCCAGCTGAGCCACTTTCCTGGGCAGGATCAGACTTTGCAGGATGCAGCAGGAGGCCGGGTCTCACTGGAATCCATGTAAAATGTCTCCAGCCAGGGCTGCCCTTACTGCTTCAGAGAGGCTTGGCAGCCCTCTGCCATAGGCTCCCTCCTGGGACTGAGGAACTGGCTGGTTCAGGTCTATTCAATCCAAGGGAAGGAATTTCCAGAATGGCAGAGGGCCAGAGAAAAGCTAAGTTGATCTGGTCATTGCCTGAGACAGGGCCAGCTACAGGAACCTCTCCATCCCCTCACACCTGGGATGGATCAAGGTGAACATCATTCTAGAATGTAATGGAAGCTGCCCTTTGATTTTTCCAAAGGCAAAGTGTTTGGATACAGAATGTAAATCACCAAGGGCTAAGCACAGTGACTCACACCTATAATCCCAGCATTTTGGGAGGCCCGGGCTGGCAGATGACCTGAGGTTGGGAGTTTAAGACCAGCCTGACCAACATGGAGAAACCCCATCTCTACTAAAAATACAAAATTAGCCAGGCATGGTGGTGCATGCCTGTAATCCTAGCTATTCAGGAAGCTGAGGCAGGAGAATCGCTTGAACCTGGGAGGTGGAGGTTTGGTGAGCCAAGATCGCACCATTGTACTCCAGCTTGGGCCACAGGAGCAAAACTCCAACAACAACAACAACAACAAAAATGTAAATCACCAAATAAACACTAATTGCTCCCTTCTCATTAAAGTTACACTTCTTACCTGTAAAGACACCCTCCCCCTCCACATACTCATGAAAAGTCTGTTGGGGAGGAGAAGCATATTGTGCTATAAAACACCTGTTGCAACAGATGTACATGCCTTTGGTTTTAGTCTCTTTTAAGCAATCTGGCCACCATTTGGGGGGCCTGACTGGGTGACAGATGAATGGGAAGGTTCTGACCTGTTTTGAGTACAGCTCCCATCTTGCTGTCACATATGGGAATGTCACTGCTCTGAGTGTGTCCTGGAGCATTGGAGGTGGTCTGTGAACAGCCGCCTCCCTCCACCTGTCCCAGAGTGATGCTAGTGATTTCAAACATATCTTTCCTATTAGTAAATATGATACAGATCTCTGGTACCACAGCTCTATGATGAGGTAATCTGTGAGTTTCATGTCTCCAGACTTGCACAGGTATTAAGAAAAACAAGTTTATTTGCATGGTGGTTCAGGACTTCCAGAGAAAGCGTGCGAGTTGGTAGGAGGCAAAGTAGATAAAAAGTAGGAGGTCAAGGCTGCAATGAGCCACGATTGTGCCACTGTACTCTAGCCTGGGTGACAGAGCGGGACCCCATCTCAACAAAAAAATTTTGGCTGGGCGCAATAGCTCATGCCTGTAATCCCAGCACTTTGGGAGGCCGAGGTGGGCTGATCACAAGATCAGGAATTCAAGTCCATCCTGGCTAACATGGTGAAACCCTGTCTCTACTAAAAATTAAAAAAAAAAAAATTAGCTGGGCATGGTGGCATGCACCTGTAGTCCCAGCTACTTGGGAGGCTAAGGCAGGAGAATTGCTTGAATCCGGGAGACGGAGGTTGTAGTGAGCTGAGATCGAGCCACTGCAGTCCAGCCTGGGTGATACAGTGGGACTCCGTCTCAAATAAAAATTTAAAAATTCTAAAAATTTTTTATTTTCTGCCTAAAATGTGGACAAAGTACTAAAAACACATGGATTCATTAAAAATGGCAAAGGGGCATAAAAGTGGCATCCACCAATGTCCAGTGAACTTCAGGGGAAGGCATATGGTCAGAATCACAACACTGCACTCTGGCCCCATTCCTGCCCCCAGTTCACCATGTCATCTTGGACCACTAACTCTCACCACGCCTCAGGTCCCTTATCTATAAAAAAGAAAAATAACTCAAACTCAGCTTGCCCAGATGAGCTCCTAAGTTTATCGCTTCCTAGGCCCTGCCCCAGGTGGGACCTGAGAATGGGAGTCTTACCCAGGCTGCCTTCCACCCCCTGCTTTGGGGTATATCTGCTCTCTTTCAACTCTTCTGAGACTGTCCTCAACGAAGTGTCAAACCATCCCACTCTTGTTCTTAGCATGTTAGAATGCCCTGTCGATTAAG